GGGGGGGGGGGCAGTACAGGGGATTCAGAAGGAAGGATGGACAGGCCTGCCCCTGTTCTGAGTGCACAAAGGATTACAAGTGGAGGGCAACCCCATCCCCTGCTTCCCTCTGGGGTTTGGCCCACTCCTTGCCCCATGACTCACGAGGTCCTGCTGGGGCTATGAGAGCAGTAGTCTTAAGGATCAGGCTGCCCTAAGTCTTGGCCAAGCTCAGAGGGAAGTCAGGTCTTAGAGTTGCAGGCCCAAGGAGCAGCTGTCAGGGGTTTGGGTGTATTTGCATGAGGGGAGCAGGTGGCTGAGATTTCCCTGACAAATCACAGGCGTGAGTGGCCCTGCCTCTGGAGGCCTGAAGACACCTGTCTCCTCCCAGGCCAGCTATAATCGCTCTACCTCCAGCCACCACAGAAAGTGAGATACAAACAACGGCCCCAGCTGAGGGATCTTCACGTTCTTTATTGACAGGCTGGGAGAGAGCAGTGGGGTTTTTCTCCCCTCTCATCCTCATCTGAAGCAGTCAGGCTCTGCCCCCTGTCATTTCTTCCCAGGGAAGCACCATGCCCTTTGTCTGTCCTAGGGCTGGAGGTCCATCAGCTGGGGCCAGGCCTGGCTCCTCAGACCTGGTGAGCTCTAGGCTGGTCTGTGCAGGGTCTTCTGAGTCCAGGGCTGGATGGCCCTTATGATCCCCCAGATGCTGAGGGTACAGGGACAGAGAGCTCGCTATTCTGCTCCTGTCACATGGGGGCTTCTTGTGGGTCCTGGCATTGAGGCAGCCCTTCACAAATCAAGTGGCCATATCACAAGGAGCTGGCTCAGCCCCTCACAGCTCCTCTCGGACCCGAGGTGGCTTCCCAGCCTTGTCCTGGGCCCGCTGAAGTCTGCGGCTGGGGGGTTCTGGGGAAGGGTCTCTGCTGGGCATTTCTTCTTCCTCCTTGTCACCTTCCTCCTCCTCCTCTGGCTCTTGCAGCAGCTCTTTGGCTTCTGTCCACTCCTGGGAGGTGGGAGGAAAGTCTGGCCCAATAGCCTACATCCACCCTGCCCCAAGGACCCTCCCTGAGTCATCTCAGCCCCTGCCCCTCACCAGTCAGCCTGCCCACGCTTCACACACCAGGAGGGACATCCTTCCTACTCTGCTCCTCCTCACCTGCTCCCTGTGATCAGGTGCCCATGTGTGCCACAGTGCCAGGGCGCAGCGCCGGCCCCGAGTCACGGCCCACACACCATGGGGATTCTCCACACCAGAGCTGAAAGCCACGAGGCGTCCGCAGCGAGGACGAACCTGAGCCTGGGGAATGAGGGCAGGTTGAGCTCCAGGGAGAGGCCCTCAGAGAACTTGGCCCTGCTCCTAGATTAGGACAGGGCAGGGGGCACTGAAAGATCAGCTCCCTTGCCCATCACCCACTCCTTAATTCAGGGGCTATCTTGGGGCAAATGAGAAATCGGCCTCAACTGGGGGAGCACAAATGCCAGACTGAGGCTAAAGCAGTTGGAGCCAAAGGGAGAAGGGGCCTCCATCAAGGGCCTCCTGTTGGTTCCCTCCCCCATGCCCTGGCTTTTCTTGTCCAATCCTTTGAACTAGGTGTTGAGGTAGCCTGCAGAAATGAGCACACGACGAGACTCTGGGTACTGGGGATAAGGATCTTGGGGATACTCTTCCCCTCCAAGGAAAGCGTGGATTATAGGCAGCTGGTGGTGGTAAGCAGAGAAGGAAGGAAGACAGAGCAACAGGTGATGAGAAACCACCGCCTGTCTCCTCCTACCTACTTCTAGCCCCTAGTTTCTGCCTGGAATAGGGACTTGGGGTCCTGTGCTCACCCACCCTCCTTTAGGAGGTCAGGCAAACACTGAAGGCAGGGTCTGCAGGGGTCACTCTGAGATCTCCTGGGGGGGGCATAATCACTTTCTGCTAGGAGAGCCCCTGAACACAGACAAGTGGGAAAAGAGCCATGGAGGAAAGGAAAGGGTTAAGGTGGCTCCAGCCATTTCCCTGCATTTGCCTCTGGGAACCTTCTGTTTTGAATCCTGAGCCCACAGCTGGTCTCCATATTCTAACCCCCACCCCACTTACCCTGACAGTGAGGGCGTTGGGCTCTGTGAAGAATAGGTCCCCACCCTGGAAGTCATCATTGAGGTAGAGGAGTCCACTGGAGGAAGAAGACCGGAGGCAGTGAGATCCCAGCCCAGGCCCACCTGCCTGCCCCCTGGAAGGGCTGCCCACCTGTAGTCTCGATAAGTGTAGGCTGGGGGCTCCCGCCAGCACTCTCCGGTGTCAGGGTCCAGGACGCAGTTGTCAGCATGCACTGGGTGACTCAGGTCCATGCGCTGCTCTTGCTCCCCTAGAAAGCAAAGGAGCCCGGTGAAGGCCTCTTTTCTTGTCCAATCCTTTGAACTGGGTGTGAAGTAATCTGCCATTCCATCCACCACCATCCACACCCACCCCAAAACTTGGGGGTCACAGCTGAGCAGAAAGGCCAGGCCCCAACCAGGGCAGGGAAGTCAGAGTCTTTTAGGAGTGAAGATGAACCCACAGTTAGGAGGTGCTGAGGGTATGCAGTGCCCCACAGGGACCCGAGGTTGGGGAGGAAGAGTGGGGACCTGGTGGTTACCTTTGATGGCAGTACGGCATACCAGGTGAGTGAAGGAGAGATGCAGGGGCCGTTCCGGGGAGAAGTAGGCCTGAGTTAAAGTCCGCACTCGCTCGCTCACCTCCAGAAGCAGCTTAGCACCCTGAGTGCTCACAGTCCCAGCCCGGGCCAGCTGCAGCCGAAGGGAGAGAAAGGAGGGAGGCAATGGAAGGGTGGGTTTGGAGTCTCTCAGCAGCCAGCTCCATCCATCAGCTCCCACTGCTCCTTCCACTGGCTCCATGACAACCCCTCCTCAATCTGGGGCAGAGAACTCAAGGACTCAGTCCAGGAGAGCCCCTCCATTGGAGAAGCCCAGGCCCGGGCACCCAGCCTCCTGTATACCCTCTTCGCCAGCGCTGGGCATCAGACCAGGGCATGGGTGCCTCCTCGCTCACCTGTGCAGCCTTCAGCACCGTGAGCCCCTCGAAGTGTTCATGGGCGGTGTGAGGGGAGCGGCGGCCCCGATAGCCAGACCTGGCTCCAGCCTCAGCTGCATCCTAAACAGGGAGAGTTGACTGTGGAGTCGCTGTCCTTTGGCCCCGGACTTTTGCACACCTCACTGCCCATGGACTACAAGACTTTCTCTCCAAACTTCCTACTCCCTGGAAGAGGTCTCTGGTGGCTCCTTTTCCTGAGCTGCTGCCCCTCCCCAGAGAATGGCTATAATCATGTTTGTATTGTCACTCTCTGGTAAAGATCTGGAATCCCACTGTCTGAGTGGCCTGTGCACAGAACTTTGGAGAGCATCCTACAGTGGGGAAAGGGCCTCTGAGAGGGTAAGGACAGCAGGGAAAGGGGTGCAGGAAGGGCTTGAACATTCATCCCTGATGAGCAAAGAATAGAGGAGTCCCTCTGGAAAAAGGACTCCAGCAGGAAGCTTGATAGTCAGGCCAAGTCCAGCCGAGGAATCTCTCTCTGACCTCTTCCCACATGACACGCTCTTAGAAAACATGAGAACCCTTGATGCGAAGTCCCAATTACCCAATGGCTACATGAGTGTCATCACCTGGGGGTCTCCTGGTATTTGGATATCCTTTCCTGACATCTATTCTCCTGTCTGCTTTTTGAAACTCAGTTAAAGTACCACTACCTAATTATCCTATATGTAAACCTCATCTCTGAGAGACCACCTTATCAACCAAGCCATCTAATCTTCTATTCTTGTATTCATTCATTCCACAAATTTGTACTGAGTATCTACTATGTGCCAGGCACTGGGAACAGTTCTAGGCACTAGCAACACAATTGTGAATATGAAAAAGTCCCTACTTTCATGGGGTTTATATTTTCAGATAACAAACAAGCAAACAAACCAGATATGTGTTATGAAGAAAATAAAAACAGGGCTACAACCTTGAGAGTGCGCAGGCAGGGGCTGGGGGGCAGTTAATTGAAGAGGTGACAGCTGAATTGAAACCAAATTATAAGAGGGAGCCACTTGAATATCTGAGAGAAAAATGTTCCAGGCAGCAGAAATAGCAAGTGCAAAGGTCCTGAGGCCAGAATAAGTTTAGTGATCAAGCAACAGAAAGGTCCAATACTGGCGTTACCCAGGGTCTCCCCCTTACTTTCCTTTCCCACTGCATTTCTCCACACTGCCACTAGAGGGATCTACCAGTTCTATAGGATGGTGGTGACTCCAGACCCTGCACTTGGAGGTTCTACAGGCACAAGAAAGTCAACCCCTCCTTAAATACTTCAATAAGCTGCCCTACCATTCTCAGTAGGGTACAGAAGGCCCTTCACGATCTCTCCTGTGATTCCAGCTCTGGGTCTCTCCCTTATACACTTCTGAATAACATACAGCCTGATTGATAACAGTCACAGCTAAATACTGAGCACTTTTTTTTAAAAAACATATCTTTATTGATTTCAGAGAGAGGAAAGGAGGGGGAGAGGGAGAGATAGAAACATCAGTGATGAGAGAATCATTGATCAGCTGCAGCCTGCAACCCGGGCATGTGCCCTGACTGGGAATCGAACCCCGATCTCCTGGATCCTAGGTTGATGCTCAACCGCTGAGCCACGCCCGGCCGGGCCTGAGCACTTTCTATATCTAAGATCTTTACCACGTACCGACTCATTTAATCCTCACAACAACCCCTTGAAAAAAAACCACTGTATTTAGCCCCATTTTATAAATGAGGAAACTAGGCTCAGAGATGTTAAAATACATGGCCCAACATCACACAGATGGTCATTGTGGGGTCCACCCTATGCTCTTAACCCCTGCGCTCCTCGAGCCTGACTCTCCTCCTTTTCTCTGCCTTGTCCTTAAGACTAAGCTCAAATGCCACCCCCCACCCCAAGCCTTCTATGACCTTGCATTTTGGTGCTTCTATTTGAAGGAGTACATACTTCTTTTATCAAACTTACACCCACTCTAATTGTGTGTCTCTACGTCCGATTCCTTCTCTCTACAGTGAGCTCCTAGATGCAGTCTGTGTTCATCTACTTCTCCCTGAAACCTAGAAGCTTCTAGAACACAGTAGGTACTCAAAGAGTATGTGTTGAAGGAACACTAGCCTAGAAGGAGGACTGATGCTTCATAAAATGGCAGACTCAACCTGGTGAATGGATCATTCAATCCAAACTAGGAGGGAATTCAATGGATAGGAAAAGAAGCATGTGTCCACTGAGCCATCAGCCAAGCCAGTAATGAAACTCCAAAGAATCATCACCCACATACTCACACTCTTTTATGACTTTATGTTTTTTATTTCCTTTTGTTTCTCCTATCAACTTCTAGCAAAATCCCTTTGTAAAGAATGTCCACCCCATGCCCTCTAAGTTGAGAGGAAAAGGAACTTGTCCACAGCAGTGAGGCAGTGGCAAGTCCAATCCCTGCTGGAGAATCAGAGAAGGCAGAACAGGGGGAAGGCAGCTGTGCCTGGGGTCCCTTACTAGCAACTGTGCCACCTACCCATAGGTCTTCTTACCTTGGCCAGCTGCAGCAGCACCCCACACTCAGCTGGGGTGAGCAGACCGTCCAGCACTGCTCGCTCTGACCCATTCAACTGTCTTGCATCCTGGGTCAGGGTTACTCCTTCCAGGAGGAGGACATCTGCAGGGGAAGGGACAAGGCAGAGGGGATTGAGGGCCTCCTTAAGGCAGGCCCAGCAGTAGCCCCAGCTGGCAGGCCCCAGCTGGCAGCCCACAGACCCTCCAGGCAGCTGCCTCCTGCTCTTCCAGGAACTTACCCTTCCAGTCAGTCAAGGGTTTCGGCTGTGGAGGCTCATGGTCCCAAGGCCGCTGCTCTTGATCCTCTCTCAGGGGTGAGAGACATGCTCAGTGGATGCACAGACCAGTCCAGATCCATGTTCCCCAGGCCCAGTCTCCCAGGAACCCTTCTGTCACCTTCCAGCTCAGGGCAGGCCCCTCCCACCACTGACATCTCCTACCTGAGCTTTTCTCTAAGTGTCTCAGGGATCAAAGCTGCTGGAGTCCAGGGATCCTAGAACAGTCAAGAAAAGCGCCATCACCCACCAAGTCCAGCCCCAATCCCTGATATTAGACTCTGAACCACCATAATAATGTTCTGCTTCCCGAGGGCAAGGTGGAGGTGGGAAAAGCCCTGGGCATGGGCCCTGGGCCAAACTCTGTAACAATAACTTATGTAGCACTATTTGCCAGGGGCTATTCTAAGAGCCTTATACATGGAAGTGGGATGGACAGAAGTGGAGTTACTCACAGGATCCTTGAAGCTGGTCCCCAGGTGCTCCATGGCATAGTAGAGCTGTCTCTTCTCTCCCAGGGATCGAAGAACAAAGCGCTGGATGTCCTGAGGTGGAGTGGACAGCAGGGAGCAAGGGGATAGGGGGTGAGACAAGGAGAAGTTAAGTGGATCAGGGAAGTTAAGGCTGGAGGAGAGCAGGGCAGCCCCAGGTTCCAGGGGACAGCCTGCATGCTCCATAAACACATCATGTGCCTCTCTGTTCAACTTTCTTCCCTCAGCAGCTCAGGGCATCTAGGCTCAAACTGGGGCAGAAGTCTGTGTACAGGGTGGGGGCTGGCAGGGGTGAGGTTAAGGGAAGAGAGATGGGCTGGCACTTGGGCTCAGAAGGAGTCTGAAGTGGGGACCAGGGTGTGGGGACAAGTCAGTGCTGGACCTGGGGTTGCCTCTGGTGACTAGAGTACTTGGCCAGAATAGGGAAGGTGGAGTCCGGGTTACTGCTCAGGTATGTTTGCTTGATTTCGGGCTACGTCACAGAGTAAGTGCGTGAGGAGTAGGTACCTCTCTTGGCCCAAGGCCGGGTCTCGGCTCTCCCAGCTGGGCCTGATACTGGTTCAGAGCTTCCTTGGCAGCCTCATCCTCCGGATAAAAGAGCAGGACACTCAGGACATTTTCCATAGCCTGGGACAGATTCCCCACTGGAGACAGAGCAATAGGATGGGGTGGGGCACACACATGGAGCCATGATCCCTGGGCAGAGGTAGCGATGACAGGTGGACAGAGGCAGAGCCAGGAAAGGTGATCTCCCAGCCAACCAACTCTGTAGCCCTCCCTGCCTCCTTCCCCCGGCAGACATGCTCCTCCACTGCTTCTTGTCAAAGCTCACTCAAACATACCTGAGCTGAACGGGCAGAATTCAGAGGAGAGGGAGAGAGGAGAGAATAAGGAAGGTGAGAAGCAGCAAGGGCAGAAGGAGCCCTGTGACCCATCTCCTGAGCTTTCCACAGTGGCGCCAAAGGAAAGCAAGTTAGAGTCTTCCAGAAGTGATGGTCCCCATGGAGCCCTGACCAACTACAGAGCCAGAGACAGGTGGGAGGGATGGAGAGACAAGGCTCAGAATACCATCAAAGACAAAACTTCACTGTCCCTGTTTCCAGTCCATCACCCCGAGGGCTCCCTTCCCCACTGACCCTGAGCATGGGCCTCATGCAGCCGTCTCAGCAGGCTGGGAAGGAAGTCGGGGACAGGGAAGCTGCGACCAGGCCGTGTGGCTGTGTCCCCCACACAGCGCTGCCGGCACTGCAGAACCTGAATCCAGTGCCCTGCGGAGGACACACAGAAGCTATTCAGCTTGTCATACTTCTCCTCCTGGCACTGTGAACCCACCACTCTCCCAGCTCCTTACCTGCAATAGCCTCATAGAGGCCCCCCTGGCTCCCAGTTCCTTCCTCCTCTTCATCGTCCCTTTGGTGTTCCTCGGGCCCCTCACAGCCAGCCCGGCAGCTCTCCATCTGAGCCAGGCTCTCCTGCAGGGCCTCCTCGAGCCTGGGCAGTGCCAATCCTGCTTCCTGGCGTCCCAGTAGCTCTAGGCCCGAGTCATAGGCTGCCTGTTGGAGAGGGGAGTGCCAGTCATCTGAGATCCTGGAGGAGGGGGGTACCAAACAAGACTGAGAAGCAGAAAGAAGGCGAGGGGTGTTGGTCTCATTTGTGGCATGGACTCCAGGTCCCACTTCACCTTGGCCTCAGGATTGGAATGTTTGAACGTGGGACTTTAGTGATCCTCAGGAAGAAAACCAAGTCCCAGATAGGGACTCCCCATCCAGGGTCACTGAGAACCACACCCAGATCTCCTGATGCCCAAGACACACAGGGCCACAGTCCAGGGAGGCTTGTGTATCCTGTTAGTCAAGGGCTGGGGTGAGGGGTCCTGCTGAGGGTCTCACCCAGTGTGGGGGTGTCTCCAGGTCCCGGAAGCTTTGCGGTCGAACCCCAGACATACGTCTGTACTTAGCCATGTCCTCCCGCATCTGCAAGTGTGTGGGGTTTGCTACAAAGAAGGTGTGAGCTGCAGCTGCTGCCAGGTCCAACTTCTTCAGCTGAATCAGGATGGAAGAGGGAGTCAGTGACCCGAGGTGTGGGTGTCAGACCTCTGCCTCTCATCAGCCTCCCCATCCCAGACACACACCTGGGCCTGCCCCAGAGCCTTCTATAAGACTTGCCAGTCAGAACTGCCCACCTCTCAAGCTCCAGGCCCCTGGACACCAGTATGTTGGCACTCTCAGGAGTCTGGCAGCTAAGGAAAGGGGATCTAAAGACTTTGGAGTCAGCGAGATATGGGCAGAGGGGCTTCAGTTTGGGAGATAAGGTGGAAGTGATGGCTAAGTAAGGTGGTAGGTGGGAGACACCTGAGTGACCAGCAAAACCCGTAGGACTCTAGGACCCTGAGGTGAGGTGTGTGACCAGCCCCCCCCCCCCCC